ATTTTGGCTTAAGCAAAACTCAACCTAGAGCTCAAAGCATTGTGAACTGAGCCTATGGCGAGGAGACTTAAAAGGGGCAACCATGGCCAGGAGACTACGGCAGATCCATCATTCCAATCCTTTAAACTAAAGGACGCCAGAACATCTCTTGGCTCTGCCCTTGACCAGCAGCAGTCTGCCAAGCCTTTCACAGGCTCACATGCTCCTGCCACTGATCTTGTGTGTTTATTGCCTGCCTCACAGGCAGTGTGAGCAGTTACACTTGGCTGTGTGGCTTCACTGCCTGTCTGCAGCCACTTTCTCATCCCTTGCCCAGTGAGCAGCAATAACTGCCCTCCATCTTCCCCAGCCCTCCAGCAGACTGCAGCACCAAAACACTTCCAACATCCTGGGTGAAAATGAGGTACCAGAGAGTGAAAGGATTTATCCAAGGCTAAGCCTGAGATATAATTCTGTCTCCTCGTCTCTCTGCACCTTGGTGCTGTCTTTCTTATCAACACAATATGCCTATGCTTTTCTTTGAAATCTGAGGAAATGTGTCCATCTCCCTCGTATCCTCATCCTAAAGGAAAAGGCAGAGGCAAGCACGATGTGAAAACAGGAAGATTCCATGATACTGTCTTCTCATCCTGCCACTAGCAACAAGTGCCTAAATGTAAAGCCTACATTAATTTAGTATTGAACAGATGGAGGAAAACTGTAGACCAAGCAGATAGGGAAGAATGGTGCTCAAACGCTAGGAAAAATTACAGTAATAGGTCAAATATAACATCTCCTCCCTGCTTCCCAAGCCAGATCCTTTTTCAAGGACTCCACTCCCACAAGCTAACACAAGCCTGCTCAGAGGGGAGCACTGAGGCCAGGTCTGCACGGGCTGCAGGACAGCCATGGCCCAGGTCCCCCTGGTTCACTCCTCTCCCCCCCTCCAGAGAAGAAGTTGTCAGCAGAACCTGTTGGAGCAGGAGCTCGTTGACTGCTCCCTGTCCATTACAGCCCGGATTATCAGCATATTGCACAGTGCTCTCTGCACGGTGCTGGGGAAATCCAATACGCTGAAAGGTTAATGCAATCAATTAGGGTGACAAGGAAGTAGAGTAAAGCCTTCTGAGTAGATGAAAGGGAGAGAGAGATGGAGACAGGGAAAAGCAAAGAGAAGCAGGGGGGGAGCAAAGAGTGGGAGGAGGAGAAGCAGGAAGATGGTATACAGGACTTGTGCTGTAGAGCTCAGGCTGCTGTGGTGACCAAGGGCAGCATCCTGCCCCAGCATGGATGGGCTCGTGTCATTCACAGAGGCAAGGCAGGCCGTGGATACCCAAGGCAGCAGCTGGGCCAGGACTCCCTGTTTGTGGCTCTTCCTGCTGTCTCCTGCAGGATGTGGAGCCCTGCTCAAACTGCAGCTGCCCAGGCTGTCCTGCCACCAACCTGCTCCCTTAAGGGTGGTAACTGGGGAACTGGCAAAAGTTCCTGTGTCTTTCCTGCCCAGGTACCCAGAAGGAATGAAAGAAACTGATAGGGTTTGCAAGGCAAGGGATCTCAGCAAGCCATGGGGGAGCATCACAAGAGGAGAAAGAGGGAACAGGAAGGACAAAGAAAACTTCTGGCTGTTCATACACTCTGCACACAAAGGTAAGGATGAGCACCATCTCCCTGTGGACTTCCTAGCTAGACAATGGTCATCACCACTGGCCACTTCTCTGCACCTATCCCCTCACGTCTGTAATCATCTGTAACATAGGTGCTCTCTTATTTTTCCAGCCTCCTTCTCAGTGTGTCAACGTGGGCTTTCCTGCAAGGCCAGAGGACAAGCCCCAGCCAGTGCCCAGCTGTAGCAGTTTCACCCCTGCCTGCAGACAGTTTGATGAGGCTGCTGTGGGACTCAAGCCACCAGCACAGCATGGAAATCCCAGTGCCATAACACATATCCTGCTGCTGCATCCACAGGCCTTCCCCGGGGCATTCAGCTCAGGGAAGAGCCCCATCCTTCCCCTCCAGCCCCTCGAGCCACTGCTGACTGGCTGAACTCCTGCTCTCTGACCCCCCAGCAGAGCAGCACTTCATTAACCTGGGCTGACAGGTCAGCGAGCAGAGCCCCTTCCTACCACAGCTCCTGCTCGGGCACAGCTCAGCCAGGGAGAACGTGACACCAGCTCATTAGAACAAATTATTACTCTATAACCCCTGCTGCAATGTCCCTTAATATGCCTATTTAGCAAGAGACAAGTCCTGGTGGGCTCCTCGGCATTAAAACAACCTCACAAATCACCAGAGGCACAAGCACCATGATCCCTGCTTCTGGGGGTGGAGAGAGGGTGGCTGTTCCTTGGATGGGTGCTGGAGGGGTGCAGAGTCCTGGGCTCTTCCCCTGCAGCAAAATGAAGCTCCAGATATTGCTGGGAGATGTTCTGCAGGCAGGGAGTTGCCATCTGGCTGTGCCTCACTGTGCTGCCAAAGATGCCCAAGCTTCAGCACAACGAAGTGTTGTTCCCTCATTGAAATCCACTGTGGAAGTGTTCTGGGATGCCCATTCGACTGCTGGGCCTGTTTTCCTCTGCCTTATCCCTGCCTAACTCTGCCCTCAGCAATACCATCAGTGTCATGTTCCACATTAGACCTACAAGATTTAAGTGTTTCCCTGTGATATATATGAAGTCGCTGCCTGGCTTTCCAAATCCATCTACAACACTAGCCCTACCTGCTCACTCCTTCAGGTTAACCAGCAAAGCCAAAGAGCAAGTTTGGAAGATGACATTGATGGCAGGCACTGTGTGCTACCTCCCCATGTGCGGCCAGGCTAAATTTTGGGGGATAAACCCACTACACATGAAAGCAGTGGGCTCACACCTTTGCATGGAGGGCTGTCAGCTGCCTAGGACTAATCCAGAAATTAACAGAACTGCCATAGTTTTGGGCACAGCGAGTGAGATATCACAGGCCAAGACAGAAATGCGGGCAAATGTCAGAGGAAGGCTGCTACTAAACAGGAACAGGGAGCGTGAGGAAATCAACCTCCAACCTGACCTTTAGAAGAGGGAAAAGGGAGAAATAAAACAGTGATTCATATGACAGAGAGAAGTGGCAGCAGTGCCAGGCAGGAGACAGTGAGAAAGAAAAGTAATGGAAAGAAGAGAAGAAAGTGTGAGAAGTGTGTGATGCTGGGCACAGAGAGGGGCGGGATGAGAGCAAACGAATGGAGAAATGAGGGACCCGAGAGAAACAGAGAGAGGGAGGGCAGGAGGAAAAGGAGGAGAAAAGAGCAAGAATAGCCATGCAGCGAGGAGCACACGGGCGAGGCAGAGTGCTGTAACCAGGGTTGTGAAGCATGAAAAGGGAAGAATCTGCCTGTTCCTTTCAGCACTTGGAGCATGGCGCTCAGTGGTGACCTACACTGTGCCCGGCTGTGATCACGTTTTCAGGGCCACTGCCTGCCGATCCCAAACAATGATGAGGAGCCTTTGAAGTCAGAGAAAGAAGCCGCAATGTGAACTGGGGACTTGCTTTCCCCCCTTTTTTTCTCCTCCATTTTTTAAGGGCCAGGGAAAGAAGGGAGGAAAAGGAAGGCCTGAAGTGGTGGGGGAAGGCTGGGGGAGAGGTTGCAAGGACAGAACAGAGAGTTGCTCTCGGTGGGGTGCCCCGAAACGAGAGAGACAAAAAGAAAACAAACAGTTTATGAGTAGGGCACATGCTGCCTGTGTCTGCATGCCCCACACTGCTGGCCCCCCGTGCTCCAAGGGAGGCTTCTGTTCCCCAGCAATGATGGATGGATGCATAGGGCCATTCAGGCCTGCCATGTTACAGCAGCAGTATTTACATAACACTGGCCTTCCACCGGTCACCTCTGACACTGCCCAGCCCAGCCTGGGGCCCCCTCCCACCCCAGCCAGTCTGGGCCCCTCAGATGCTGCTCGGACTCAGTCCATGAGCTCCCCAAAACTGAGCATTGGGGGTCCCCACTGCTGCAGGGATGCTCTGAGTGCACACAGTGAGTGCACAGGGAGTGCTCCTGGCACCTCTGAGTAATGTCACACAGGGCAGAGCACTTCCCACCCTCCCCATGGCCTCTCCTGCCCCCAGACCTGTCTTGGTGCCTGGGGATGGAGGGGAGCAATGTGAGAGGCCAGATGTGGTTGGTGATGCAGGGGGCACAGAGCAGAGACACGGGGAGAGAGTGGGAACTCTTCAGGTGACACACAAGGAATTTTATGGTCCTCCTGGGGGAGAGGAGCCAGGGACAGCAGGAACTGCCTCAGCATGGCAGGGACTTCTCAGTAACCATTTTCTTAGTTGCCATGTCTTACCCAGCACATGGAGATAAGGCATTTAAGAAGCAATGTTCCATTTCCCTGGGCTATAGACCTCTAACTCTTACCAGGCACAGACTCAGTGACCATTCAGCTCCAGGAGACTGTGTGTGAAGCTGGGGTTTTTCCTTCTAAGACAGACCATGAAGGTCTAGGTAAAGGAAAATCCAGGAAAGCCCTAATTCTGCTGCAAGCACAGGAATGTTTCCACACTACTACCATGATTCTGCAGTCTGAATAGCTAAAAATGTGCCAGAAGAGGAGGAGAACATGCATATCACCATCTGAATTATGTGAACTGAGCTCAGCAAAACTTCACAGTAGATGGAGACTGCATCCTATTCAGTGATGGACATTATATCCATCTCCCCCAGCACACATGGATAAGCATAAAGCAGTTCCCCTTCACCAAAATCCTTACACACTTTTTTAGCTGTAAAGATAGAGGCAGTAGAGAAGATATTGAGGAAAACCCTCAGTGACAAAACCGGGTGCCCAGAACAACTGCTGTACAAAGACAAAGACAGGATTAGGACACACATATGCCATGTCTGCACTTGACCTTCTTCTGTTTCCATCTCTCTTCACGAGTAACAACAGTCCAACCCCAGAAGTTCTAGTGCAGACGTGGCCACAGTGAGCAGGCCATAATGTGAGAGTTGCTCAGAGGAAAAGAGAACCCAGGAGGGCATAGTGACATACCCATTGCAGTCTGAAGTCTCTCCTACCTTTCGGGGATTTCAAGGCCTTGTTTGTTGCCTCGTTTTTAGCTCTAAATTCACTTCATTCTGGAGTGAGAAAAGAAAGGATCCAGTTAACACACAGGGCAGACCTGAGTAAGAGCCAAGACTTACAAAAGCTGGGTAAGAACATGGCCCAGCATGGGATATTCAGACCTTGTGCTGCTCCATACTTTGCCCACACATCTAAGGTTGCATTCTGTGCCATGTCATATTTTCCCTTCCCAATCTTCAGATTTCCTCTGTTGACCCCTCTTTCCCAGAGGTTCCCCTGTGTGCTAATGGTGAGGCCTCCCTTGCACAACTTGTGGGGCACAAGATGACAGGGTGCAGGACTGGGTCCCATGTTACTGAACCCCCTTATCCACTCATCTGTGCATTTACCCCCAGGAAAATGCAGAGAGTGAGGAAGAAGGAGAAAAGGGACAGCAGAAAAAAAGTCACAGCAAAATACATGAAAAGTAAATTGAATTATTTAAAACCATATGTTCCAAAAATGTGACAGAGCATAAAAGCCGTGCCATGAGACTTCTGGAGGGGGTTATTCTGCTCAGGCAGGGTGGGAGGAGAGCTCATGGCTGGGGGAAGGCTGCTCTGCTGCCAGACAGGGACTTCCCTCTCCCAGAGCTGGGAGGTGGCCAGGAACACAGGGTGGCTTCATGCACGGTGGCAAGGGTGCCTGGCCCATTCCTGCAGAGTGTTTTGCAGCTCTGCCAGAACAGCTCTCACAACTGCCCAGGGCAGCAGGAGAATGAGAAACTGCCCCGAGGTCACACACAGGGTGCCCAGGGTTGAAGCCAGGACCCCCAGCTGTCCATGCCTCACGCTGTCAGCTTCTACCCAGCCCTTCTGAGACCCTTGAGTCCCTTGTAGGACAGAAGTGAGAGGCATTCAGCAGACTCAGTGCTGCTGCCACGGCTCACCCCTGTGTTCCAGGGCCCTGGTGCTCTGTGCATGTGGATGTCCTCCTCTGCCACTGCCAAAGATAGATGCCACGTGTTGGCTGGGACCCAGAGCAGGAAGGAGCTGGTGAGATATCCCAGCTGGATGGATGGACAGGAGGACGGAGCCCCTCGGGTGAAGAAGGTGCATAGCCAGCCTGGCTCCTTCCTTTCCCACTCAAATCCTGACACCAAAAAGGCTGAGGGGTTATGGCTGGAGTAACAGCTCCCTGATGTGAGGTGCCTCCCCCACCCTGGCACCCTCAGTCCTTCTGGCATCCCTTCTTCCACCTTTTTCTTCCCTTTGTTCTTCCTTTCTTCCTTGCTCTTTCCACTGCTTTCTCTGCCAGTCTGTCACACTGTTTTTTCTCTTCCTCTCTTTTGTTCTCTCCCTCTTTCCCGAGCTCCTCTCTGCCTGTAACTCTCTGCCTTCCTGCCTTCACTCCCTAACCCCTGTGCACGATCAGTTCTTGGGATTGGGTTTTTAATTGTTTTTTTTTTTTTTTTTTTACTCCTCTTCTTTTGGCCGCAGCTTATCAATGATGCAAGAGGAATAACGCCAATTTACTTAGAATGTGTAATCCCCAAATCAGATTGGGGGATTGTATGAGGCAATATGACCTTGCATATGTCTCCATTAAAGCCAGCCAGGCCTCCTCTTGTATTCTGTGTTCCCAGTACATATTTAGACAGATAACGCTAATTGTACTTGACATGTCCTCTTAAGGATGGACTCTTCCCTCCCCCAGCTCTGCTTCCCTGCCTGACAATGTGCCAGAGCCGAGCCCGCTCTCTGGCAGCGTGGCACGGCACAGCACCTGTGGGAACGGCCGGGTGGGCGCTGGGCAGAGCCCCCACGCCCAGCCCCACTGCAGCCCTGCACTGCTCCTGCGGGAAGGGGGGCAGAGAGGACAAGAGCAGGGGGAAGGCTGCTGGGACAGAGTTAATCTGAGATTACACACTGTTACTGTGTCAAATGGGGCTTCCCCAGGAATAAAGCCTCCAGACAAAGAGAGGAGACTTGCTCACCATGAACATCTTTGAAGTCTCCCTCCTTTCCAATTATGGGCTTCCACCCCACACCTTCTAGCTCCCATATGTGTTTTGGGTATTTGTGTTTGGCTACTGGACCCCAGATCCAGCTTCTAGGGAACATCATTGGAAAATCATAAAGTCCTATAATGGTTTGGGTTGGAAGGGACCTTTGAAGGTCATATAGTCCAACCCCCCTGCCATAGGCAGGGACACCTTACACTAGACCGGGTTGCTCCAAGCTCCGTCCAGCCTGGCCTTGAGCACTTCCCAGGATGGTGCAGCCACAGCTCCTCTGAGCAACCTGTGCCAGGGTCTCACTACCCTCACCATAACAATTTTCTTCCTTACACTTAGGCTAAATTGTGCCTCTTTTAGTTTAAAGCCATCAACCCTTGTCCAATCACTATAGGCCCTGCTAAGAAGTTTTTCCCCATCTTTCTTGTAAGCCCCCCTGAAGAAGCACTGAGAGGCTGTCCCTTCCCTGTGCCTGCCACTCATCACTGCCCCAGAGCAGACATGCAGGATGCAGGAGGAGGAGGAGGGGAGCTTATTCTGAGGAAACCAATGGATCCAAACTCTTCGCCAAAGTGGACTCAGTTTTTTTTTTCCCCTTGACACAACATCCTAATTCGACTTTTTCAGTATCTTTCCTTCAACAACCTTTTTTCCTTCCTCCCCTTCCTACCCGGCAACTGCGCATTTATTAATTCATGAGGCACTAATTAGTTCTTTGTTTAATTTTGTGTTAAACAGACTGACCGGAATGATAACGACTTGCAGCGTTGCATTACGGTCCCCAACCGCCCCTGTTTTCTGACAACAAGGGAGCGCAGTGAGACTGGCGTGATGAACCCCAATTCCCACTCCAGTTGCACTTCATTAAGTCAAAATGTGACAAGAAGCTTAGAGAGCAACTTTCAGATCGGATCGCACATAACAATTGGGCAGGAAACTTTCCAAGGGGGAAGCGCGAGAGGCACTCGCAGTGAAGGCTGGCACCGCGTGCAATCCCCTGGCGTGCCTGCCTTAAAGGAGCCAGCTCAGGCTGTCCAGGCAGGAGTCAGGGCATGTGCTGGGAGCCAGAGTGCCAGAGGAAGAAGAGGAAAGGAAGGGCAGCAAGACAAGCCAAAGGCACAGCAGGGCAGGACAGGTGGCATCACGTGCTCCCCTTGTTTCCTTTGCAATGATGGGTTGTGTTGAGGACCTTGAAGCCCAGGTGGGATAATCCCTCAGCGGGTCACTTCATGAGCTTTGAGGACATCTTCAGGCACCTTCAACTCCATGCCTCAGTTTCCCCCCTGCAGCTCTACACTGAAACAGCTGGTGACCCTCAGCTGCTCTTCAGTTGTCAAGAACTACACGATTATCATGGTGCCCCAAAACTGCAAAGGGAGAGGGTGAATCCTGGCGCCCACATTGCTAAAATCAGAAGGGAAGAGACAGCTCAGACAGTAGGGAGAGGGATGGCTGCTGTCCTGGAGAGGAAGCTGGGCCTTCCTTTAACTTTGTGCAGTGCCTGACACTCCACTGGCACTACCAAGTTTTGAAAAGGTCCGGATCAGTATAGTAACAGCAATAAAGTTGACAGACTGCAAAGCAAGCAGAAGCCGAGCCCTCTGCACTCAGCCCTACAGGTGGGAATCTGGCTGCTGGGCAGCCACCCCAGCACTGCCCAGCCCCAAGCTCTGATGAGTACCAGGAGCTCTTCACTGGTAGCTATGGTTATAGCTACAGGGTTTGGGTGTGTAGTCACCTGTCCGCCCTGGACCAAGCATCACCTGGCAAAAAACACCTGAGCATGATTTAGTCCTAGACAGAGGTCAACACAGGACAGACAGACAGATGATACGGCCTAGGCCATGACCAGCTGGATCGGTCCCAGCCTTTCTGTCACACAAGGGAGCAGGGGCAGGGACAGGGACAGAGGAGGGAGCCCTGCGACTGCAGCCTCTCAGCCCCACAGGAGACCTGCTGGCTCCTGGCTCTACATGCATTATCAGTGTTGTCACCTGAGTGAGTTATAATCGTACCAATCTTTGGGAAAGAGGCCAGGCTGCAGCAAGGTAGCACAGCATGGTGTTTGCCAGTACACTCACAGCTGAACAACACGCAGATCTGAGAGCAGACGTGTTTGCGCTGGCTTCCATCTTTCATGAATCTGGAATGCAGCAGGGACCTCTGTGACTGACAAAAAGGCTGTTCCTCCATGACAGAAATCCCAGGAAGACACCATATCCCTCTGATTTCATTTCTGTATGTACTCTGAATCCCATAAAAAGGCATATGTAGACATTAACACTCAGTTTGGAAGGTTGGACTGGTGTCCAGTAGGGGCAAATCACCCATTTAACACCTGAAGCAAGGACAACTGAGAGAGTCCAGGATTCCTGGGGACAAGAAACAAACCCTGGCAGTCACCAGCCCAACAAACCTTCCTGGTTTTGCAGAAAGGTTGGAATATTCGGGCTGCTCTACAGATCCAGTTGAGCAAGTCTCACCCAGTTATCATCTCCTGCCAATCTTGGACTGCTTAGCTGAAAAGGCCTGGGCTGAAGGAGAGGGAAACTCCTGTTATTTCCCATTTCTCCCTTTATTGGCTGCTATTACAAGGCAACACCAGCAGTGCAGCACAAACTAGCTCCATCCCCAGTTGTAGGGCTACACAGCTGCCAGTGCTCCCAGCAAAGTTTTGTGCTGAAAATCCACAAGCACCCCAAATAGGTCATGGTCTGCCCCTTCTTCCTAAAACGACATGCTGAAATGTCCTAGACTCTATCCTCAATCCTCTTTAACAAGGAAAACTCTCCTCCCAGGATTATGGGCCCACTGCCCCCCTTCTTTTCCCCTCCATCTGGCTGGGAGCAGCCTGGGACCAAGCACTCTTCCTAGCCCTGGGAGAACCCTGCAGTTTTTCTCTCATAAAAAAGAAAAATGGGAGCTATAAAAAAGGCAAAGAAAAGAAAAGCAAAGCAAAGGGAAATCACTGCAAAGGAGGAAAAGAGCAAAGCCCCCCTTCTCTTCCCACCCTGTCCCCATTACCTGCCTTTAGCTCTGGGTAGAGCTGCCTGCTTT